GCCCTCCAGTGAAGTATGAGGATTTGGAATCAAAACCTGGATTTGAATCCTGGATCTATTTATTACCTGAGCAACCCTGGGACAAGTCACTTCTCTTATGTCATTTGCAAAGCAGAAATAATATTCGTATGACTTAGTTTATAGGATTATTGCTCTTTGCTTAAATCCAAAAAAATTTTTTGTGATACTCTAAAGCTATGGTACTCAGAATGTCCCCAAAGCCTTAGTATACTTTGATGCTTATTAAACCTTTATTTAAATGCTTATTAAACATCTATATAAATCAAACTGCACTAAGACTTTTGGGTCATCTTGCATAATATAAGTTATTTTGTTTTCTGAAGCAAATTGTCATTAAAGCTTAAAATATTTAATCATTTGAGTAACATTTTTAAAGCAATACCAGAAACCTAGTTGTTTTTTTTTTTAATTTCTGGTTATACTCAGTTCTTGGTATATAAAATTGAAAATAAGCTTTTCTGCTTTTATTGAGCCCCAAAGCTTAAAAAATAACAATCAGTGCTACAAAATTAGAAATACTAAAATTAGAAATACTAAAATCATATTAGCATGGCATGATGGATAGAGGGCCAACTTAAAAATCAGGAAGACCAAGGTTTAAGTCCTAACCTTTGACAAAATCTGTTAGTCTTTCAGTATACTTCCCAAGCAATTCACCAAAATACAAATTAGGGAGAAGTTGCAAATCTGCAATAATGGGAGATTTTCCATGGGAAAGAGTTCCTCATAGTAATTAAATCATGTGTCCTGACGCTTTCCAGTCTTCTACCACCCTACCCCAAAATGATATGTCTAGTTTTATTTTTTTTTCTGTTTTATCATCACAATTATGGTGCAATTAATATTTACCCAGAGTCTTTTAAGGATCAAAGAAGACGTAAAAATAATGATGATGTCTGGAACACAGCACTTTTAGGCTTGCTAAGCTTCATAATAACTTTATGAAGTAGGCAAATAGTACTACCCTAAATTTGGGAATGAGGAACTGAAACTTAAAGATATTAAGTGACTTGCTATTGTTTATACAATTACCAGGTGTTTAAGGTGGAATTTGAACCCAGATCTTTCTGAATAAAAGTTCAATATGTGTTTCACTACCACTTTTGCATTTCAGAAATTAAAAACTCTGTTAAAATTTTTTCTAGCTGGAAAGGGCAGGAGAAGCATCGATGGTGATCTATAAAGGTTTGAAGGGATTAAGAACCCTGATACACTGCAGAATGTCCTACACATTCCAAAAGCTACCTTAGAAGTGAAATTACTGGTCCATAGTTAACTACTTAAATTGCCATATAAAGTGCCACCCTTGGAAGAAATTTTTTTCCATGCATGTCTTCTGGGCCTCAGTTTTCTCATCTGTAACATGATCTCTCTGGTCCATTACAGTTCTAACATGCTATAATTCAAGATAACCTTCTGCTTGTTGAATGGGAAAGTAGACAAGGAGAAGAAAGTGAAAGAACAGAACAAATATTTCATATTTGAGGTGAAAATTAACATTCTACAGGCATCATCTTACAATTAGAATAGAGAATTTCCAGAAAAATTGCTAAGAAATAACCACAATCCTCACAAATTTTGGTAATGCAGTATTTTAAGGAATATATAAAAAATGAGACAGAAAATCTATTGTAGGGTTTTACCGAGGGTTTGAGGTTTCAACTACTCCATCCAAGTCAATTCAGTATGACTTTGAGAAAGAATGCATAATTTAAAATCAGGAGACCTACCTTGTTTTGTGAAAATACCACAAGAATTCCTAAGAAAAATACAATCCATCCACAGAATTTCTTTTGCTTCATAACAACAAACAATGTAGCACTCTGTGTGTATGTGTTCAGTGATTTTCAACCATGAAATCTTTTAGAATTCCATATATTTTTATGGAAAATCAATTACCATTGTATGTTTGCTAAAGAACATAATGCTGGCTAATGTGAAAGGAAAGTTAAGTTGTACGAACTTTTCTTTTTATCATTTGCATTATTCTACACACACATATCAAGGATAACTTGTAGCTATTTGTCTTGAAAATCTAGAGATAATTTCTCCAAATATTTTAAAAGATTAATAATGACTCAAAAAATCAAAAGATTTGTTATTATAGATTATAGATATTATAGATCTACCTGCTTGCCCATGGCTAGGCCTATAACTATACAAAATAGCTTATAGTAATAATGTAGAATAATATGTACTGGGAGATTATAATTTTCCCTTTCTAAGCCATTGCATTGTCAGACTGCAATGTTACAGAAATTATATTAAGAAACAAATAAATTGAAGCATGGGCATTTTGTCCATATTTCTCACATGGTTCTCTGTGTTCGGAGACATTTTGGCATGTTTTGATAACCACACAGCACAAAAACAACAAAATCATCAATGAACACAGCAATATTCATCTAACACAACTCAGTAAATGCATGTATACACACATACAAACTCTCAGATCACTCAGGGATGAACATTTACCACAGGGCCAATAATCAGCACACAGCGCTCCCCAGCGGTGTAGGGTAGGGAAATCTGGACCAAAGGTAAACTTTCATTCTTACACACACACACACACACACACACACACACACACACACACACACACACACACAATGGAGGCTCTTATTTAGCCAGAGAGAAAGATGGCAAATTGAACATGGAATAAAAGACCTGAACCAATAATTTGCTTTGGAATGATATTCTGGTGTATCTATTGTAAATGGCACCCTAGTGTCCCCTTATCGTCAAAATAATTTGAGCTCTGTGTTAATTTATTCATTCTAACTGTCCAACAGAAAAATAGTAGATTAGTTAGGAAAATTTTAAATTAAACCCTAAAGAGAATAATGGGAATTAATTAAATGAAATAACTTTTAGACCAATATTACTTTTAAGGGCAATGGTAAAACACAGTTTGATACACAATTTTGAAAGTTAAAGACTGAATTCAGTCACCCAAAAGGTTTTTAGTTTGTGAACAACTTGTTACTAAGAATTATTCTCCCTCCCTTCTCTCCCCTCCTTTATCTCTCTCTCTCTCTCTCTCTCTCTCTCTCTCTCTCTCTCTCTCTCTCTCTCTCTCTCTCTCTCTTTTTCTCTGTTGTTAGTGAAGAACTGAACTTAGGATTTCATTGAGGAAAGAAGTCCCCTTCACCACAAGAGGTTTGCCTCTTGTGGGGCACTGAGAGTTTATATGACTTTCTTAGGGTCACAGAATACAAATCAGAGGCAGGATTTAAAACCAGATCTTCTTGTCTCATTGGCTAATTCTACATCTATTGTCCCACTATTCCTCTCTCCGCTTCTTATTTAGTTACTAAGCATTTATTTACAGTCAAAAGATTAATTTCTAAGTAATCTATTTTTTGAAGTCTACTTTTTAATTTTTTTTCCAAGCTGTTTTGAATTGAATGTGAGTCTTATGATGGTTCAGTGACTTGCCCACAGCTAGCAAAAGTCTGAGGTAGAATATGAACTTAGGTCTTCCTGACTTCAAGGCCTGCTCTCTGTCCTGAGTTATGGGCACATTTTCAGTATCTCAAAATTATCAATCATTTATTAAAATTAGGCTATTGAAGAATGGTTTGGTTTGTGCCCCACTGCTGTGTAGCAAATATAATCAGACTGTTCTTTATGTGAGTTGACACCACTGGTAAGATTTTAATTATCAGTAGTTATGTATTAAATTCTCTTGAGGTGTATGAATGAGCAAATAATTTGCCTATTTTTTCCACTGGAGTATTGCTTGTATTTTTTGGTAAAGCAACATTTAGCTGAAGTTTTTTCCCCAAAGATAATAAAAACATAGTATGGAGAAGATGAAAAATAATAATAGATATTTCCCAAAGGCAAGTTGTTGCCATGCTACAGATATAATTGTGCATGCAAATCCCATGCAATTAAATGATAAATTATTAGTCTAACAAATAACTCTTGCATAGCAATTTTGTATTGTAATTTAGTATTAACTGGAAACCCATTCAAACATCAAACATATAACAAGGCTGGGAAAAGCTGCCCATATGAGAAAGAACATGCAGTTTTAATGGCAGAGGGAAAATAGTATGGAATTACATGCTACAAAATAAAGTCTATAAATCATTTCAAATTTCTTCTGTCAAACAGCATTGGAAGCAAAGTTAACTCTGATGAAATAAGTATTTTTAGTATACAGAAATGATGACATACCATTTTCCATTAGCACAGATAGCACATAGAACGTGTCTACCTTTCCTCCATTTTCATTGAATCATTTTTATATAGTGTAGTATTCTCCCCCAAGCTAAACACCATATGTAGCACAGTCTGCCAAGACATACTTATTGACTTATGCTTCTCTTCCCCCCAAGCATTTGTCCTCATTTCATATGTGGAACTTGGTAGTTTACAAACAGAAACTTTCATTCGTCTTATGTATCTCAATAAAAATCCAACATGAAGAATTAGATACACACAGATATGGAATCTGAAAAGCCATTTTTTCCCCTTCCAATTAAACATTTCAGGTCAAATATAGGATTGCCTTGGAGCAACTTTCTTTTTTGTAAAAAAAAAATTACGAAAGAGAAAGAAAAATAGAAAAAGTTTTACTCGTTTTGATACTACTTAGTTCAGGTAAAATGTGTCATTGTTTTCATTTTGAGAATAGTTATGAAAATACGAACTGTTTTTGTTTGAATATATATTTACAAGAAAAGCTTGAGCTAGCAAAGAGCTCAGAAAAAAATAGTTAAGGTGATAGTTAAAATGCCTTCCCCTGAGTGAAAGAAGACTGAAATGGGACAATTTTTTCCCCCGTAAGAAAAACAAAACAAAGGAAGGAAAGGTCCAAGAAATAGCTAAGATTGCTGATGGTTTGTTATTACTTTAAAAGAAAAATGGGCTTTGTTTCCCCACCAGACACTGCCTGCATGCAGAAATATGCTGTTAGCCTTTAACTGATGACCACAATCTTCTAGTTGAAGTTAAGAAAGTGAATTTACCGTGTCTGAGAAACGGTAAAACTTCTCCAATGCAAAAGCTTCTGTCTGTGGGAAGGCAAAGTGGACCAAAAGGGATTTAAAAATCAGAGTCAAGTAATGTATAATTCAACAAAGTTGCACATTTGGTTTGAATTACATATAGCATCTTAACATAGGCTATCAATGAATAGAATCTTCATATAACCAAGACTTTCCCCCTCAATTGGTACTAAAGCTAGAAAATTAAAGAACTTTTTATTTAACCTAAATTTCTAATGTGTGCTGCTTCCTGAAGATTTCAAGTCATGAGTTTTCATTTTTTTACTTATATACATATATATGAATATATATATATATAATATATATATATATACACATGTATGCATATATACATATTTATATGTCAACTGCATAAATTTATGTCCAAATCACAGTTTGTTATTTCATATTCCTAACATTTCCACAAGGTGGAAATATTTTTATGGGAAGGGGAAAAGAATCTGTTGTACTGAAGTAAAGAGTAGTTAGTCTGTTAATTCCATTTAAATCACTAGTCACTGAAAATTGAGGTCTTTGACTTTTAGTCCACTATTTTGTCCACCCAATCATGATGCTTCCATGATACATGATAGGTATGGGGTATGTTTTTCTTTTTATTACCTCCCTGTACTGCATACATTGACTTCTTCTAAATAGAATGTCACCTATCTTGAAATATTTAGTGTATAATCCCATTCCCTCTAATTCCCAAATATAGAAGTGATATGAATGATAATAAAAAAGAAGAAAAGAAGACAAGTAAATCTAGAAAAAAAGAGAAGATAATAAGTAAGAATTCTTCCACCATCCTCCCACAAAACAAAGGTAGGAAGGAGAAAAGGGGCACTGTTTTACTTACAATGAGTACTGAACAAAATAACTACATCAGTTTGCAACTGAGAAATTAGGCAAGAATCCTAATTCTTGGAGTAAGATTTTTTTTTAGTTTTGTACTAGAAAAATAAGAACCAGAAAATAATGTTGAAAGGAAAATAGTGGAGAGGAGGGGATGGATGGGAAGGAAAAAGTGGGGAAAGAGAAAGTAAAGAAAGGTAGAGAAGAGGAGGGAGGGTGAGAATAGTGGAGAAGAATGAAGAGGGAAGATTTTCTTATTTTAAAATATATCCATTTAGTATATTTCTCAGTATACCATTTAATATGGTCAAGTTTTGGCAAAATATTGTATAAATGAGCAATGCTGATTCTTAACCTTTTGCCAAATTCTTCTACTACTCTTCCCACAGTACAATGAAATTTCTAGAAGGAGCATTGGCTCTTTTTTGACCATAAGACATAGCTGGATAAATAACCATTTGATGTACATGAAATACTAACAAAGAACTTGACTTATGTGCAACACCAAGAACTAACCCCACCTATCATGTTATATTAGAGTAAGCTTAAAAAGTCTTTGAATCTTTTATGTCTTGGGAGATGTATACTATTTAAATGAAACTTATTTTTGAAGTTTTAATTAACTTCATTTAAACATTAGTTCCTAGCTATTCTTTCCTAGGCCAAAACCCAACCTAGAAGATTGTATATTTAAGTAGGTACCTCCTATATAAAAACAAAAACAAACAAACAAACAAAAAACCCAACTGATTGGCACTGGAACATGGGATAAAGCTAAGCCTTTTATTTATCATTTGTAGTTATGTTTTTAAAAAATGATCTGATGTTTGTCAAAAACAAAAAAAAGGACAGGATGAAAACCAGCACAAGATATTTAGTACTGATTTATTAATCTGAGGGTAAAAATCTCATCTAGATATTACCTTCATAGATTTATTTCAAAATGTGCATGGTGCCCTTTGGTTTGGGTTCAGCTTAAGCCAGGACCTGGTAGTAACATGCCAATCATATTCTACCCTTTTCACCCAGTTACTTTAGTGACTTTTTCATAAAAACATATATAAATGAAGAAAGGGTCAGCCAGCTCCACAGATCTTTTTCTTCTGTCTCAACAAATAAAAAATATTTGGTTGAAGAATGTAGAGGAAAAAAAAACTCAAAATAAAGTTAAGCTTTTATCATAGCAGATTGATTTAGGTCAAGTTTAAATCCTAGTTTTTCTCCTGTGATGCTTTTAAAAATTAAGATATGTAAAGCAATGGATTTTCTTAATTTGAATAAGAGATTTTGTTTGTACCATTAAATACATTGAGAATAATCTGGAAAACTTTTCTGAGCTCCATATAGCTTGTTTAAATATAACATTTTGTGAATATTTAGATTCCTTTATAATTATCCAGAACATTTTGTTAAGCTACTAATTATGCAACACCAAAGTGAAGTTAGCATGTGTATCCTCCTGCTAGGCTGTTTTCCTTCTCTAGGGCTGCAAAATCAGTATCCTTTCAGATTGTTAGTATGTTTACATCCTACCTTGTTCTTCTTTCTTTTCCGACGGAATCGCAATAGTTCCTTGTGTTGTCTTGATACAAAGTTGACCGCGGCATACTCTAGGAGTGCTGAGAACACAAAGAGGAGACACACTGCCATCCAAATGTCAATGGCTTTGACATAGGAGACCTGGGAACAAAGAAAAGGCCAACTGAGCAAGAGATGGGCCAAGTGACTTTTCATGTCCCCTCCAAGAAAAAGAAAGAATGGGGTGGGAGGTGTTTGCCGGATTCCCTCACCTAAATACCAGACAGTTTCTGTAAAATAAAAGAGTAAACTTTTAAAAACTTAGTTCTTTCTGAAAAAGAGCTATTTCTGGAACATTACCATATGAAGCTTTTCAAATACAAGATGATCATATTTCCTCTTGTTTATATTGTACTTAGAATCTGATTCCAAATTAGCCACCAAGATGAAAAAAATGTAATGAAATGCAATTTTGCTTTCAGGAAGTTCATAGTGCATGAGAAATGTGACTAAAATTGAAATGTGTGTATGATGTGGGTGCTACAATTCTCCCATTTTCTCCAGCCAGATATTTCCAGTGTCTATTATCTTCTGCAGGAGTAACTGAGATACTCTGGTGCTGCATTAACACTAACAGAATGAACTGAAATAGTAAATTGACAGTTGCTTTATGACAGTAGAGCCTAGAATCCAATCCAAAACCAAAAGCTTTGTATGGCATTGTCCAAGGTGTTAGGGAGATTTAAAAAAAATAGATGATAGTTGCTGCCTTCAGGCAGCTGACAGCACCGAGTCTGCAATCAGGAAGGCTAGAGTTTAACTTTGGCCTCAGATACTTAATAACTGTGTGACCCTGGAAATTCACTTAACCTCTGTGCCTCAGTTTCCTCAAATGTAAATTAAGGAGAACAGTTGTGCTTACTACAGTGCCTAGCACATAGTAGGAATGTAATACATGCTAATTCCCTCCCTCCTCTCCTTCATGGAACTCAGTCTAGTAAGATAAAATAGCTACCGGAAATACATAATAATAGCCAAGTCACTTTACTCTCCATGTCTTCATTTTCCTCATGCATAAAATGAAAGAGTTGGACTAATCTTTTCTGCATTATGGACCCCTTCTCAGGATAATGTTTGTAAATAAATGAAAAAGGAAACTAATTGTATGGAAATAAAGATGCAATTTTTACCCATTCAAATTCATGGATCTCCTGCAATCTATGGGACCCCAAGTTATCAACCCTTGTCCAGGATGATCTCTAAGGTCTCATCCAACTGCCAAATTTTATATTTTAATATGTGATAAGCACATAAGAAAGATATCACATTATTTGTGCTTCTTGTACATTACTACGGCAACTGCTGAACTTCAACAAGTTTCAAATAAGTTGTACTCCTTTCTTTTAGCAGGAAGTAGAGAAACTTTCTCTTTTCAAATATTTTTACTATTCTGTGCTTGCTCTCCTTAAGTACTCAGCTAGACATAGATTAGGCAGTAGTCTCCCCATCTCCAGCATTTCTTTCTCTTTCTTTTCTGTTCCTTTCTTTCTTTTCTTCCTTCCTTCCTTCCTTCCTTCCTTCCTTCCTTCCTTCCTTCCTTCCTTCCTTCCTTTTTTCTCAGAATGGCAATAGATAGTTCTGGAAAGAAGCACAGGCATGCCCCTGCATGATATGGACTATTCACTTCATTTCAACAAAACTTATAAAGGACCTGCTATGTTAAAGACACTAGGAATATAAAGGCAGAAATGGAATTGCTCCTACCTATAAAGGGAAGTTGGCAGGATTCAATACCTACATCAGTAAATAAATAAAAGGTCATCCAAGGAGGGAGAGATCAATGCCAACTGGGACATCAGAAAAGGTTGTAAGGACCCATTGCCAGCAAATTATCTTGTATTTTTTCAACTATCAAGCATTTTTCCCCACTCACCATTGGGTAAAGGAAAAAGTAGAAGCAAAACTTTTAAGACAAATATGCAGTCAAGCAAAACAAATTCTCATATTGGTCATATCCAAAAATGTATGTTTCATTCTGTATATTAGTACATCACCTGTATGTAAGTATATATATGTACATATATATATATATATATATATATATATATATATATAGATATAGATATAGATATAGATATATTCAGGAGGTTGACAACATGGTCATTATGTATTCTCTGGAATTGTGACTGACAACTAGTTTGATCAGAGTTCTTATGACTTTAAAAATTACTCATTTTATTATGTTGATATAGTTTAAATTATTCTTCTAGTTCCATACTTTCTCCTCTCAATTAATCCATAAGTCTTCCCAAGTTTATCTGAAACCAGCTGTTCCTTTATTTATTACAGAGCAATAGCATTTCATTATATCCTTATTCTGTAATTTATTCAGCTATACCCCAAGTGCTTGTATTTATTTTGTATTATACTCATATATGCCATATTGTCTCTCAAGGGGAAAAAAACACATAAACTCCTTGAGGGCAAGGACTATTTCATTTTTATCTTTGTATCACTAGCTCACAGGAGAGCTTCTGGTACATAGTAGGTGCCTAATAAATGCTTACTTGCTTGATTGGCACAAGATTGGAGCCTTAAAATAAATCAAAGATGGTAAGAAGTAGAGATGAGAAAGGTATTCCAGGTATGAGAGACTGGATACACAAAGACATGTAAATAAGAGATGGAATATCAGATTGGGGCAAGTACGCTCAATTGTTTGGAATGGGGTGGGGGTGGGGGTGTGTGTGTAAAAGGGAATAATAAGAAATATCTGGAAAGGTAGGTGTTTCTAGAATGTTATAAATGCCAAATGCAGGATTTATAGCTTTTTTGTTTGTTTTTAGTTAATTAATTTATTTGTAGTTTTCAACATTCATTCTCACAAGATCTTGAGTTCCAAATTTTCTCCCCATTTCTCCCCTCTCCCCACTCCAAGACAGTGCGCATTCTGAATACCCTTTCCCCTCATCTGTCCTCCCTTCTATCACTCCCCTTCTCTTAATCCCTACCGTTTCTATTTTCCTGTAGGGCAGGATAGATTTCTATACCCCATTGCCTGTATATCTTATTTCCCAGTTGCATGTAAAAACAATTTTTAACATTGTTTTTAAAATTTAGGGTTCCAAATTCTCTCTTTTCCTTCCTGCCCACCCACCCTCACTGAGAAGTCAAGGAACTTGATACAGGTTATACATGTGTAGTCATGCGAAACACTTCCATAATAGTCATGTTGTGAAAAACCAACTATATTTTCTTTCATCCTATCCCACCCCCCATTTATTCAATTTTCTCTTTTGACCCTGTCCCTCTTCAAAAATGTTTGCTTCTGATTATACCCTCCCCTAATCTGCCCTCCCTTCTATCATTTCCCCCTTCTCTTATCCCCTTAATCCCTATTTTCCTGTAGGGTAAAATAGATCTCCATACCCAATTGAGTGTATTTGTCTTTCCCTCCTTAAGCCACAGGCAATGAGAGTAAGATTCATTAATTCTCTCTCACCTCCCCCCTCTTACCCTCCATGGTAAAAGCTTTTTCTTCCCTCTTTTATGTGAAATAATTTATCCCATTCTACCTCTCCCTTTCTCCTTCTCCCTGTACAATCCTCTCTTACTCCTTAATTTCATGTTTTAGATATCATCTCTTCATATTTAACTCACCCTGTGCCCTCTGTCTACATATATTCCCTCCTACTTCCCTAATACTGAGCTTTCTCATAACTTACAAATATCATCTTTCCATGTAGTAATGTAAATAGTTCAAGTTTAATAAGTCCCTTATAATTTCTCTTTCCTATTTACTTTTTCACGCTTCTCTTGAGTCTTGTATTGGAAAGTCAAATTTTCTATTCAGCTCTGGTCTTTTCATCAAGAATGCTTGAAAGTTCTCGATTTCACCAAATATCTATTTTTTCCCCTGAAGCATTATATTCAGTTTTGCTGGGTAGGTGATTCTTGATTGTAGTCCTAGTTCCTTTGACCTCCAGAATATCATATTCTAAACCCTCTGATGCCTGAATGCAGATCTGCTAAATCTTGTGTTATCCTCATTGTGTTTCCACAATACTTGAATTGTTTCTTTCTGGCTGCTTGTAATATTTTCTCTTTGACCTGAGAACTCTGGAATTTGGCTACAATATTCTTAGGAGTTTTCCTTTGGGGATCTCTTTCAGGAGGTGATCAGTGGATTTTTTCAATTTCTATTTTGCACTCTGGTTCTAGAATATCAGGGCAGTTTTCCTTGATAATTTCTTGAAAGATGATGTCTAGGCTCTTTTTTTGATCATGGCTTTCAGGTAGTCCAATAATTTTAAAGTTACTTCTCCTTGATCTACTTTCCAGGTCAGTTGTTTTTCCAATGAGATATTTCACATTGTCTTCTATTTTTTTTTATTCTTTTGGTTTTGTTTTATAATGTCTTGATTTCTCATAAAGCCATTAGCTTCCTTTTGCTCTAATTCTAATTTTTAAGGACATTTTCTTTAGTGAGGCTTTGGACTTCCTTTTCCATTTGGCCAATTCTGCTTCTTAAGGCATTCTTCTCCTCATTGGCTTTTTGGACCTCTTTTGCCATTTGGGTTAGTCTGTTTTTAAGGTGCTGTTTTCTTCAACATTTTTTGGGGTATCCTTTAGCAAGCTGTTGAGTTGTTTTTCATGATTTTCTTGCATCACTCTCATTTCTCTTCCCAGTTTTTCCTCTGCTTCTCTTACTTGCATCTCAAAATCTTTTTTTGAACTCTTTCATGGCCTGGGACCAATTCATATTTTTCTTAGAGGCTTTGGATATAGGAGCTTTGACTTTGTTGTCTTCTTCTGGTTGTATGTTTTGATCTTCTCACTAAGGAAAGATTCTATGGTCTGACTTATTTTACTCTGTTTGCTCATGTTCCCAGCCAATTACTTGACTTTAAAACTCTTTATGAAAGTTAGGGTCTGCTTCCAGAGTGTAAAATGTACTGTCCCAAGCTTCAGGGGTTTTGTGCAGCTGTTTTCAGAGATACTTCTATGAACCTATAAATTTTCAGTTCTTCCAAGATGGTATGATCAAAGGTGAGGTATTTATTCCTTTCCTGGCCTGCGCTCTGGTCTATGAGTGACCACAAGCACTCTTTTCTGTCTTGGATCTGTGAGGAGGATTTCTTCTTCACTACCATCACAAGCTC